AAAAGTAACAAGACGGTAGCTAAAAGTAACAAGACGGTAGCTAAAAGAAACAAGATGGTAGCTAAAAGAAACAAGATGGTAGCTAAAAGAAAGAAGATGGTAGCTAAAAGAAACAAGATGGTAGCTAAAAGAAACAAAATGGTAGCTAAAAGTAACAAAATGGTAGTTAAAATTAACTTATGTTAGCTAAAGTAACAAAATGGTAGTTGAAAGTAAACTATGGTAGCTAAAAGTTGCACGATGGTAACTAAAAGTAGCATGATAGCAGCTAAAAATAAATTATGGTAGCTAAAACTAAATTATGGTAGCTAAAAGTAACTAGATGGTAGCTAAAGTAGCATAAGAAAACAAAAATAGTCACAAGATGAAGCAGATCTCAGAGGACCCATCTCCTGAACGAGCTGAACGCTCACACTATTTCAAAATAATAAAGTTTCAGTTGTAAATTGTGCTAACAGGAAGTGTCTGAGCTGAACTACTACATTGTGGTGACGTCAGAGACAACGTGGGACAACTCCAACTCGACAGATTCCATAAACTCTACAGCTCTAACAACGTGCAGAAAGGTTTTTAAAGATAATTTAAGGAAGTAAAACGTGTCGACTCGTGATCCGTCGTTCAGTTCCTGCTCCAACAGGAGGGAGTTGGAGCGACCCTCTCAGGAGGAGTGGACTCCTACTGGCTGGGAGTTCTGCACCTGTTGGCCCGTCTGACAGGATGATATGCTCTGCACCACAGCACAGCTGAACTCCGTCTCTGACCTATCTATAGACCGGACCGCCCGGGCCCGACTCGGACCGCCACATCACAAGCCTGAGGAGGAAACCCGAGCAGCACCGAGTCACCGTTACAGCACCAACGCTCTGCGTGACCTCTGCTCCCTGAGCCACCGGAGTCTGACCCACCAAGTCCTCAATGAAAACAGGCCCGACGATACAGAACCGTCTGGGCCTTCTCTCCGTTCGCCTGTGATTATGATCTGCAGCTGTGACTTTAAAAACAAAAGCCTAAATATTTTAATTTATTTACAATGTTGCTCATTAAAATGAACGAAGAACTCTTCAGTACGCTGAAAAACTGTTTTGGAATTTAATTCAGCATTTCTGCTTCATTTGTTGCCATTTTCAGCTTCGAGCCACCGTTGCTCTGAGTTCAGCCATTCGCCACCGTTTCGCCAGTCTCAGCTTTTAGCCGTCCTTCCTCCCATCGTGTCTATGAATAGTGTTCCTGTTGGGTTTGTCGATTCTTACAAATACTTGGTTATCTTGGTTGATTCACTTCTCTTTTTTTAAGCCCCACGTTGAAAACCAAGTAAAGAAATTGAAAGTAAAACTGGGTTTCTTTTTCAGAAATAAATCCTGTCCAACTCTGAATGCTAGAAAACGCCTGTAACTAGAGGTGCACGGCGCCGATTCACATAATTTTGGGAGATGGGCCGAGACGAGAAACCGATTTTTTGTAGTTTTAACAACAACCGTCTAAATTTCATTTATATTTCAGAGCAGTACCTCATAGCCAGCTAAAACAAGTTTGTATTGTTTCTAGGATATTGATCAAGGGTCTGTTTTTCAATAAAACAGTAAAATTGAAGGTGCATTGCGACCTTACAACACTGGACAGTGTCGCTTATAAAACTAAATTGTATCGGCAGGTCGGGGTTTTTAAAAATCAGTGATCGGCCAGAAAACTGCGATCAGTGCACCCCTACTTGTATCTGTGACTTCTCTTCCCTCCATCGATCACGGTGACATTATTTACATGAACGCTCCTACAAGAACCTGCAGATGTTGGACGCTGCGATTCATAACTGGCTGTAACTACCATATCCACCACTGCACCCAGTATCCACTGGTTAACTGGTCACCATTAACTTCACACAGACTCTCTCACTGGTACATCTTTAAATCACTTCCTGGTCTGCTGCCTTCATACATCTCCTCCTTCATGTCTCTGCGTGAGTGCAGCTACAGCGTGCGCTCTCAGGACATCATTACCTGCAGTGTTCCCTCAATGAGGACTGAACTAGGCAAAAGGAACTTCTCCTACTCTGCTCCTGTTTCCTGGAATATCTTGTAAAAAGACTTGAAGCTCTCGACCTTGACCTCTGTAAGTGGCTTCAAACATCTGGAAAAAACCAACGCAGACATGTTCCTGTTTTTCTATCACTTTATAATGTAGCTGTCTGTGTTTCGTTATATTTCTTTTATTTACTTTTCATTTTATATGCTTTTAAATGATTGTCCGTTGATGTCTGCATCTCATCTGTGTTCTTTGTTTAAATCAGGTCTCTCTTGTAAACGAGTCCTCGAGGCTCAATGAGACTAACCTGTAGAAATAAAGGTTGAGTGAATTAGCCACAGTGTCGCCGGTTCCGTTTTGCTAGTCTCCGCTAATTTTAATCTTAGAGCAGCATTACATCACGATTATTTATGTGGAACTTTACAGTAATTTGAAAGCACAAACGGTGACAGCAGCATCTAGCTGCAGCACATCTGGTGCAACCAGAAACATCACAGTATACTGTATTCCTGTCAGAATAACTACACCGAAACACTGACAACAAAATAAAAGTTTATAGAAAAAAAACGAGAAGCGCCTAGAATTACAGGAGATCCAAGTTCTTTTAAGACGGCAACACTCAGGTTGTTAAAAAGTTTAAAAAACAACTAAATACTGAATTTTATGTAAAGATCTCTTCCTTATTTCGGCTCATTTCTCTTTTGTCTCTTAATAATCTAAAATAAGCCACTGAACCTTCTCATGGCCACTTGTTTTTATTGTTTATGATTATTTTAACTATATATTTTAAGCTCCTTAGTGAGGGAAGAGGAGCTGTAAACCCTGAGTTTACCAGCCTGTGGTCAGTTTAATGGAAATTAAACCATCAACCAAACAATCATTTAACCCTCCACTGCAACAGTGATGTGTTGATTTGACAAATAAAATCATTTGGACTGAGAAGCACAGCCATCAGCAGGGAGGACTCGCTCTCTGCAGGTGAGCAGCTCATTTCTCAGAAACCCAACGAGCACCTTGGATTGTAATCTCAGAGACAACTGGTTGGAGATTATCATCCACTTCTAACCTCTTGCCAACGCTTTGTAAACCAGCTGCTAAAAAAAACCCCACAACAGCCAAGTAATATCAGGTGCCTCCTAACTGGGCTGATGACGGTGCAGGCTCAAGTTCGTTCTCAGCAGCAACGGATGCCAAGTTCTCCTAATCAGAAGGTAAAAGCTGCACGTAGTGATTTGATTGGGAGGACAATAACAGCCGAGTTAAAGATGACCTGCTGAACTCCACGCGGTTGATCTGATCTTTCTTTCGCTCTACAAAGAGATTCAGATTTAGGAGCTGACTGGGAGGGTCAGATGACTCATGTTTCTATGATCAGCCTGCGTGACTATAAGGAGAGCAAATGGAGCCGTGCGTTCGGCGCTCGAGACCGAGGCGTTGCTTTCAACCAGGATAGGTTATACTTTTAAAAGACCAACAAAAACCGTTCATGACGGATGATTTACCTGGCATCAGACTGCCACTTTTAAAGTTTTAAAGACAGGAAATAAGCTGACTGGACGAGAGAGGACCATACTTTTTTTGTTCAGTTCACCCGTCTAACACAAAAACTGACTTCAAAGTTTACAGAAGCCTTATTTTAAGAAACAAGTTGAGGAATGGAAGGCTTGCTGTGAAGAAAAGACATAATCTCGGGGCGTGTTGTTACAGGTCGTGCAGACTCACTCCTCTGCCCGTTTCTCCTCCCAAACAAAAATACTTCAACTCAACCTCCCTGTAGTTCAAACCAGCTCTTTCAAAACAAATATTAACTTGCAAAAACCTGCAGTTCCACATATAGATAACCCTTTTGCTGGTACAGCTTTGACGTCAGTTAAAATCAAAATTGGCTCTGAAAACTTTGTGCTCCTCCGTGTGTGTGTGCAGCAGACCACAGGCTCGGCGTTGAACTGAGCAGGCCTCAAGCCGTGCACGTCGAGCAAAAACAGGCTATCAGAACTTATGCAACATCCATTTCTTACTTTTAAAAAGGAGGGGGATTTTATTTATTTATTTTTAAAACAAAATCAAAGATCTTTCCAATGTATAAATTCTTGTCTCCTACTCTGTTACACTTTAAATGTTTTTAATTGTATAATTTAGAAAATTAAATATTCACAATACCAAGAACAGATTGTGTTTAAACCAAGACGCGGCTCGGCTAGATAACCGATGATTCAGGTCTGTTGCATCCTGCAACATGTCAAAGATTTGATGAAGGGTTTCTGCAAGTTTAAAGCTTTTCAGACCATTCGGATTCAAATTTAAGACAGAAAAGAACGAGTCTTTGTAAAGAAAAATAGTTCAGATCACCAAATTTAGTTGCCTTTCATTCAAATTTAGTCAAAAAATGACAAACCAGTTTCAGGAGCAGAGAAACCAGATTGTAGTTGAGGACAGCTGATTGCCCATTTAACGATACCTTTCAGCAGCAGCGTGATGAGACTTTTAGTTTAGTGTAAAACCCACAGACAGAACTAATAACACGCAGAACGAATGAATGCAGACTGCACAAAAAAGAAAAACGATGAACATTCAAATTTAGGATGTAAACTACTTGATATTCGAACCTAAAAAAAAGGGGATAACTTGGACATGTTTAAGACCCAGCAGGAATGGATACAATGGCCCTGATTGACTACAACATTCAACTCTGGTTGTGCATGAAGATTTCAAACAACGGTAAGGGATTCTAATCAGTAGATTCAGTTTGTCTCACCTACAGCTCAGTCATTTTCTTAGGCAGTGATCATTTCAACCATCGATCTTTAATTTTAAAGCACGAGGGTTCTGCGACATTTAGAAATGACAAATAAGAGCAGCCTAGGTGCATAACGTATTTGAATGGATTCAAAATAGGGACAATATATGGAAAGCTTCGTGTGACGGAGCACAAACTCACCTCTCGAGCGATGCTACTCAGAGCCTCGTCTTCTGCCGAGAACCGATCTTTCAAAGGAGCGCGCTTTCTACCGCAGCCTTGTGTCCCCATGTTGCCGACTGCTTCAGCTTCACCAGCGCTCTGGAAGGCTGGGGGAAAAAATTTATAAAATAAAAAAACAGCGACACAGAAGAGGATACTGTTATACGCATTGTGGCTGTTCTTATTCAACCACCACCCAGTATTGATTAGGTAGGAGCTACGATCAATCAGAACATCAACAAAGAGCATCAGTGGGTGTCGTTGAGATTCTGGTACAAGAAAATTTGTGTTGTAAAGAGAGATTCCCATGCTGTCAACATTACTGGTGCCCAGAAAGATTTAATGAGTGGAAAGTGTCAACGCAAGACATGCAACATTCAGAAAGTTATGGATGATTGGTGCAACTTAATGTCATCTCCCACTTTCAACTACACTAAACTGTGCAACAACCACAATACCGTCACCCTGGGGCCGTACAAGACTAAAAATCCCATTAAGGCTTTTTGATAAACCACAAAAACCAGCTTTAATAAGACAGGAAGGACTTATATCAAGTCTCTAAACATAATTTATATACATATATATAAATAAAACTGTTAAACAGCTAACAAAGCAATGATTGTTCAATAATATAAAGACTATATCTAGCTGGAAACCATGAAAAAATATTTAACGATCAGGTTGAATCAATAGATTACCATGTGGTCTGTTGACAATTTATTTTATTCTTTTTTTTAATTACTTACAGCAATCCTCTAAACTGCTGCCAGCCGATGACATCTAAACATTTTTGACAAACAGGATAAATGAATAAATGAATCAAGTTTAAGTTGAAAGCAGCTCATTAGTTTTCAATCAGCTGGGTTCAATTAACAGACACATAATTTGTTATTTTACACACAAAGCTAACAGTATGTAGAAAATAAAGGAGACAGTGACATTAACTTGTTTAAAAGCCTGCTGAAGTTACCTCGTGTCAGGTAAGGTTAGGAAGGACAACATTTTCAGGTAACTCTGGGGTTGTGTTAGCCTCCTTTCTGGGATGCTAACCGCTAACTAGCATTTATTCCTTTTATAAGGTTACTCTGCTAAATTTTGTCTTCAATGAATCTAACGACCCAAGAAGTATCCAGAAGTGTCCTTCTGACAGCAGCGACCCCAGCACTGAAAACATTGTAGTAAGCCACAGGTTAGCTGAACCGTTAGCCGGACAGTTAGCTAAGTTAGCAAAGTTAGCCTCGGATGCTAACCTCGACTCTCCGGTCAGATCCTCTCAGATTCCAAGCTCCAAATTATACCCTTACCTTTAAGACACCTTTATGAAAATCCGCGCGATGCTGACAAGGTGTTGTCCTTTATCTTCCTGAGGTTTAGAGGGGAGCCATTCGGTTTCACCTCACACACTGGTAGTGTTTTTGTCCCCACTGACAGCTGTCATCAAGTCCGCCTTTCTGTCCAGAGCTCAGCTCTCCCGAGCTGAAAAGGACCCGGATGTTTGGAAAATTTAGGGCGTGATGCTGCATTCACGTACACTCGGGAAATATCAACGTCATAACCTTTTTAGGGATTCTTTGTTCATTTCCCCCTCACAATCTGATAATCGTATCTTTATTATAAGATGCCTCGGCGACTGACAAATAACAATAAATAAATAATTTAATAAATCAATAGAAAATAGAAACGTTTTATTAATGAAACTATATTTTGCAGCCGTCATCATTCTCGTTTACTCCGGGCACTCCGGGCAGTAAACTAACTTTATTATTATTGAAAAACTTTACACAATGCTGTTAGGCTAAATATAAAGCTTTTACTTTGGTTTATAGGTAATATTTTACACATTAGGGGATTAAAATAATAGTTTTTTCTTTTGACTTTATTTACCAGGAAGAAATCCATTGAGATCATCAATCTTTGTAGAAGGATGTCCTGGACAAAGTTTCCTTTAACTTTAGTTGTGTTTTAATATAATGAAGCCTGGGCCTTGACTGCATCGTTCCATGATCTTTAGCTGTTTCTCTTTAAACCAGTGAGGTGCTTCAGCTGTGGGTTTAGCTTCATTGTTCTGCTGGAAGGGGGACCTCAAATCTGTTATGGTTCTCCAAAGGATTTATTTCTCAATATTAAATGTGGGGCGGTGATCCATGTTTCTTAAACTTCCTGCTCCTATCCAGACACATTTTCATCATCTTCTGTCTGCACACTGATTAGACGCTCTACACTTTGTTTCAACTTATTTTATGTCTAATATTGACAAATTAATATATGTATTAACATTTTTTTTGGATGATGTTTGAGCTCAGGTGTTTATAATTAATGTTTACTGTAAAAAAAAAAGTTATTTCATGCAATCCCTCAAGTTGCATTAACTGTATGTTTAGTGTTTGTTTCTAATACAAAACAGTGTTAATAATAAATACATGGACCTGAAATGTGTCCTTGCTTCATAGCATGCATCCTACTGTCATGCTCTCTGTTTTCAAGATTTATTTTTTTCTTCAGATTTTACAGTTTTGTTTGATTCCAAACCAATTTCCTGTTTTGCCATTTCCGGTCCAGTGCTGCCACCTTCGGGGTATGTCTGGCACGCTCAGCTACAATCACCTTACAGTAAAAACTTGAAATGCTTTGGATGCTTGTAGGTTTCACTGATACAGTACTTTTACCTGGTTAACAGTTAAACCTGTGTCTTTTGCCAAGCACAGACTGAAAGTCTTTATATCTAAGATATATTTCAAAATAAAACCTCTCCATGTCTGAGGAAACAGGCAGAACCGGGTCAGGGGGAGTCTTTGCCTCAGGAGTAGGAGTCCAGGTTTCTGTCCATTGGATGGATCAACGGATCTGGGCCTCATACTCAGTAATGAGGGTGTTGCTCCAGTCGGCCGTAGTGAGGAACTAGCCAAAAGGTTAAGTTCTGGATTTGTCTGTCTACATTTCAACCCTGTGAGGTTTGGATCAGAACCAGATCCTGGATACAAGCGTGTGAAATCAGCTTCATTCGTACGTGTGTGTGTGTGTGGTGGGGGGGGCTCAGCCTTGGAGACGGGTGGGGAGCTCGGAGTAGAGACTGCGTAGAAAAGATTCAGTTGAGGTGATTCAGGAATCTGATGGACCCTTTAGAGATGTTCTGGGCCCGTCCCAGAGAGTAGAGACCCAGAACTGACTCGAGGTGACGTATAGTTCCTCTCTGGTCTGGGAACACCTGGGTTCCTCCAGAAGGAGCTGGTTACTGGAGGTCTGGGTGTCTCTCCTGGACCTGTTGGATCCTAATGTGTCTGATCTAATGCTGTTTGTAAAGTAACCTAAAAATCAAAACATGTTTGTTCTGACATGTGCCCTCAGGGCTCCGTAATGCTCTGTATACCCTGTGACAACAAACCAAAACCAAACGACTACACACAAATAACTCACGCGTACGAACAGAGTGAATGTTTATGGAGCATTCACTGTCATCCTTTTTTTTCTGTACGTTTTTCAGCTTCTTTCTCGTCCCGCAGTTTTCAGCTATTTCAACAAATCATAAATCGAAACGTTCTTTCAGGACAATCCTGCTGTGACGTTTGATGCAACTTTAGCTTTTTGAAATATTTAGCCTTTTCTGACGTTTTTTTCTCTCATAGAAAATGAATTATCTAATTTTACATCCTTCATATCTTTAGATGTGTTTACAACCTTTTACTGCTCCTTTCACTTTTTGTTCTGCTTCAGCTGCTTTCAGCTCCCTGCTGCAAATTTAAACTTTTTTTTTCAGCTACTTTCAGCTTATTTTAGCTGAGATTTTTTTCATCTGTTTTTTTGCTTCTTTCAGCTTCTTTCAGCTAACTTCAACAATTTTGTGCTTCTTCTAACTTATTTCTGCTATTTCAGCTACTATTTACCTGTTTGTGCTAATTAAGCTTTGTCAGCTAATTCCACATTTTTTTCACTCATTTCAACTTTTTTCAGCCTATTTCAGCAAAAACGTGCTCTATCCACTTCCTTCTTGTAATTTCAGCTTCTTTCTGATTTTTTAGCTACTTTTCAGCTGTTTATTTTTATTTTTGCTAATTTCAGCTTTTTCAGATAAATTACACTTTTTGTGCTATTTTTTTGCTTCTTTCAGCCAAACTGGGCAAACATGCTCTTTCTGCTTTCTTCTGCTATTTTAAGCTTGTTTTACCTTTTCAGCTACTTGTTGTTAGCAGTTTTAGCTAATTTCAGCTGTTTTAATATAAAGTCAAGTTTTTCTATGTAATTTATATTACTTTTAGCCTTATTAACTTCTTTTCTGCTAATTTTAGCTTGTTATGCTCCTTTCAGCTTTTTCTGCTATTTCAGCTACTTTTTAGCTGTTTTTGTGCTAAATTTAGGGGAGTGGTGGCACAGAGGTTAGAGAAGGTGAGCCTGTGATTGAATGGTCACCAGTTCAACTCTCCGTACTGATAACTTCAAAATGTGGGTAGGATAGGTGAAGCACCCACACCTGCCTCCACCCTCATTTGCTCCACCCTGGGCCCTTGAGCAAGGCCGTTAACCCCCACCATCTGCTCCCCTGGGCGTCCTAGACGGCTGCTCCCTGCTCCACACAGAGGCTGTGGTAGCTCGGTGGTTGTGTCAGGAAGAACGTCAAGACAAAGCTTTGAGTTAGTTCGCTGTGGCGACCCCTGAAGACGGGAGCAGCCGAAAGAAGAAAAACGTGATAAATTTAGCTTTTTCAGTTCATTCCACAAATTGTTTTAGTTAATTCAAACTCTTTCCGCTTCCTTCTGGTAACTTAAGCTTCTTTCTGCCTTTGCAGCTACTTTTCAGCTATTTTTTAAGTTAATTTCCTATTTTTTGTGCCAGTTTCTGCTTATTTAAACCTAATTCAGCAAATATGTGTTCTTTCTGATTTCTTATGCTAATTTAAGATTGTTCTTCCATTTCAGCATGTTTTTTTTAGCTAATTTCAGCTGTTTTTCAGCAAGTTCTTCAATAAGCCTTAACACTGGATTTTTGCAGGAAACGTAATTTCTCTAGTTCTTATTATTTTGTCAAGCAGAGGACTTTATTAAAAGCACCTTTTGTAACTCAGTGTCCACCAGAGGGAAGTGGTGACTGATTCTTTATTCAGGAAGAGTTCTCCAGGTGCTGCCTCAGGTCTCACATGGATCATGAAGATCCTCTGGGTTATTATCGCCCATCTTTCTGCGGCGGACGATAATGTTCGTGCCTGTCTCTGACCAAGTGTGTGTTTTCAAAATAGCTCAGGAAGGATCTTTAAAAAACTCTCAGAAGTAACATCAACAACTGAACAACGTTTGGAGTCAGTCCAATTCAAGATGGCCGCCACAGCCACTCACCCTGAGCCTCATAGATCTCATCACATTACGAGGTTGAGCTCACTGTAACTTTAAATTATGTTTTAATTTTTACATTCAGGCCTCAACATCAACATGAACAGAAAAATTAAACCGTGAATTGCAAATTATAGCATTTAGATAAAACATGAAATTTAATTAATTATATTTACATCGTACATGAATCCAGAACAGAATATATTTTGACAAATATTAATTTTATAGGTTCTTCCTCTGTTAGCATTTTTAGCACGAAACCAAAACAAACTCCAAATATTGACTCAGAGACCTTCAGCACCTGCATGGGAACACCTTGATTAACCATCACGCACACACACACACACGCACACACACGCACGCACACACCTTTGTTTTCCTATTTCCCCTCATTACAGGAAGCTAATGCTAATGACTGTTTTGTCTGCTCTCTGAGTGTTTGTTGTTGCACAGACTGGATTTACTGGATTTAACCTGCAGACCTCGTCAGACCCGCTGTCTGCGTACAGTCATTACTTTAAACGCCGATTATTTCACAGCTAAAGATCATCTATCTATCATCCAAAAATGTCATGAACTCTACAGCTGATTATCCAAATTTAACCAGAGAGCTGAAGAAAGAGAAAGAGCTGAAGGACTGCTGAAATCTGCCGAAGAAGCTGGAACAGAGCTGCTTAGGTGAAAACCACCAAAATGGCTGCTTAAATTAGCAGCAAACTGGCAGCTAGAAGCTAAAAGTAGCAACAGACTAAAAGCTAAAACAATCAAAATAATTAACAGCAAATATATGTTAGCTAAAACTAGCAAAAAAGCTAGAAGCTAAAGTAGATAAAGGCTATCTAAAATTAGAAGCAGCTAAAATAACAAAACGCTAACAGCAGTAAACAGCTCAAAGGCGCAAAGATTAGCTAAAAACAAAAGTAGCAACAGGCTATTTTAGCTAC